ATCTGACGCTTGGGCAGAATTCTTGTCTGCGTGCGGTAGCCAAGGAGGAAGAGGGTTCGTGGCAGGCGCTGATGTGATTCTGGGAAACGCACGATCCATGTCGTCGATGAGGACGTTGGATTAGCATCATTGTCGCGAGAAGCCGCAATAGCTACAGGTACCGCTCCAGCTGCCGTGGCTAGGGCATCCTTCAACGCCTCAGCTGTGACGGGCTTAAGGCAGTACTTCCATTCTTCGTTGATGTGTTCCAGGGCTCCATATGTCCGGGGAACATTTTTTATGCGGTAGGAAGTCCATGGTGTTGCTTTCTCAACTGGTGCGTCCCCGAAGAAACTAACGGACTTTATCTTTTCCATGAGATTTTCTGAGTCTCCGTCTTTGGGGCAGAGAGCGAAACCAGTCTTTGTTGACTGCACATTTGTAAGAATCTGACCCTCATTGCCAAGCTTAGCTTTCAGGTGGGATTGTATCGCGTATGCTGAGTGATCTCGGAGTGTATTACCTTCCGGGATACGGACAAATAAACGATCATCAGTGCGGGTGGGCTTGAGCTGAAGCCGCGCTTTAGCGGGTGTTTGGAGGGTTGGAGTGTGGCGACCGGCGAATTGCTTATTGGACGCCCTTGAAGCTGCATTTGCGTAGGTCTGCGCAGTTTTTGGGGCATTGCGGTTGGACGTGGCGGCGTCGATGGTGACGGTCACTGGCTTGTCACAGAGGTAAGCATCGAAATGCCGTGCTGCGACTTTAGCTAAATCATTGCAAAGGCTTTTGAATGCTTCAGCTTGCTTGGTGGGTAGTGTAGCGTAGTTGGGTGCGCTGCTATGCTTGTCGATTAGTGCAGAAATACCTCCAAAAAGGGTCTCTGCTTCTTTTGCTCGGGCTGTCAAAGAGTTTACGCTCTTGGTCAGAGTGTCTTGCATTGGGCCCGCGGGAGCTGGCTCTGAAAATGGGTCGTCTATGGGGTCGTCGTATTCGATTTGATCGTCGTAATTAATTGGATCGATCTCCATGTCAAGCTGCTGGCTGCTCCCGGGTGTGTCCCAATCGCTAAGAGCTGGATTATAGAAGGGAATGGCTTCTACCGCCTGAGATTGGGTAAGACCCTCCATAGTCGGGAGGGCTGCTCTCGCGCGCGCTGAGCGCGGGATGCGGCTTGATTCTGGTGTCGGTTTGGCTACAGTTGTCGGTTTTTGACGCGACTTGTGAAGGGTGGTAAGGGGGGGTTTGATGTTTTTGTGGTTGTTTCTGATCGGAGCCAGAACGGAAGGGTCTTTACAGTACAATCTACAAATGAGAATATGCTGTGTAACTAGCTACTGGTTGTGTAGTGGGTCACGCAGTGAGACCGAGTCGGGCATGTGGGAAGCATGATCTTGGCCGTGTACACCGGTCCTTGACTCCTAGGAGATATAGAGCATAGCTTAGGACCTAAAATTTACAAAAAAAGTGGACCAGATCGTTTAGATCTGGCTAGCGGCTTTCCCCATTCTCTTCCTTCTCCCCCGCATGGCATCACGTGCTATACAACTACTGCTCACCATGAGGTCCGAGGATGAAAAGCGTTAGATTACAACAGTTAGTAGGTACCCCTGCTATAGCCAGTATCCTGCTACTGGTTAGTAAAAGCCCTATAAGAGACATCGTCGAAGTCGCTGTATCCTCAAGCTACTTCTTCAGATTTCAGCTCTCCGAAACCTGTTGCCTCGGCCATCGAGACATCCTTCACTAAGGCGATAATCGCTTCGTCAGCCCGAGCTCGTGCCACATCCGCGAACCTCCCTTGCTCGATGTAGCGGATCCACGCGAGCTGCTCTTTTCTCACTGGTCCGAACTTTCTAGGTCTGGTTTGGCAGTCCTGGGAATCCGATCGTTGAGGTCCTGTTAAACTCTACGAGTACATTGGATAATGTAAAAAGTAAAATTAAAAAGTGTCAATCAATTCCTGGCTGCCGTTTCTGCCAAACATCTGATAGTTTGGAACCTAATGAATATGGTTATGAGAATCATTGGATATCGGGATGATATACCTCGGATTAACTTACTTGAGCTTCGATATCTCACCAGGGACATGGTGATCAGGATATTCAGGAGAGTAAGGATGTCCAAAGCTCCAATTTGAGATCTTTTGATCTTCAATACATGTAATACATTTTACATGTAATTTTGGGAGACGAGGGGAAGATTTTCTCCCCCGGAAAATGTTTCAGATTGGGTATATAGCATCAATGTCGGAGAGGAGTTGAGGATCAGAGATTTCATCAATAAAAATTTACTTTACATTTTTCACTTGACCCTCAGTGTCTAACAGTTTCTCTTTCTGTTAACATCTAGATCATGTACGTCCAGAAAATGGCAATTGCTCTATCTGTCCCCAACTTGTCCCAATGAACCGAGTTTCTCATGGTTTGGAACGAAACATCTCTAGTCAGAACAGATAGAGTTCTTATTGCTACAACCCAAGCGAAACACCTCTTTCCGAAACAAGTAACTCCAAACTTTGTAAACCTAGCACCTTAAACTCTATATTGATCGCTTCCAAACTATCCACAGTTTGTTAGGTCCCCTACGATTGCGACATCGTGTGGGGGCCTTCAACTCGGCTTCCGAGTGCATTTTGATCCACAGTTCCAGCAGGCTGGTGCGTGGAAGCCCAAAAAGCGTTTGCACTGCTCGATTGGTTGACGAGGTTTGTGGACCGTGGCCACTCTAGACTCGTCGAAAACGCAGAAGGCCACACGGGGAGCAAAGTTCCGGTGGAAGAGGGCACACCAGTTGCGGTATAGGGCCCCGGGTCGGCATATCCCATGGGGCCGCACTTGGACTGGTATCTTGCCAGTCACTCGTTTTATTTAACTATCAACCCATATCTCGTTGAGCTCCTCATCTCCCCGCTCCGTTTTGGATTTAACGGGCACGTTGGAGATCCTCCGGGCGACGAGCTCCGAAGGTGGTTAGATTTTGGCGTTATGTTTCGCCAATTTCGACGAGGTATCTAGAAGAACCTATCTATTTTTTTCGGAATCTGGCAGAAAGGCAAATCCAGACTTGACTCGCTGGACTGAGTCGACATAATTGGCGTCGCGGATGTGTTCCTCGACAGCAGCTTTAGCAGCCATGGGAGATAGTTTCCGCCATTGATGGTTGCTTCCAAGGCGAAGGAACAATCGTTTGTTAACTTTCACCTTGGAAACTCCTTTAGATTGGGCTTTTGCCGCAAGTGGCGGTAGAGCCTTAACAGTAGAGACTGCCGTTTGTCGTACTCCATTTCCGACCACCGTGGCCCAAGTGATTTTTACAGGCAGCACTGGGACGGCGGTCATGGTTTGGCTCCTAGCGTCGGAAGACCTTAGGAGGGGGTTTTTTTTTTTTTTTTTTTTTTTTTTTGCATCAGATTTTAATTGCGTATGCAGCTATCTAGCTATGACACAATATCAAAGAAAATAGGAGGGGGTTTGCCGTGCGAGGAGAGAGGACGGTCTCAGGGATGAGGTTTGGACGGTGTTCCACGGGGTGCGTTAGATGGTCAAGTAAGGTTCTAGGTGGTAAGTGTGACGGGCTTTGCCCGGATTGGGACTGTCACTAGGACCACTCCGTCTCCAAGGTAAGGTAGTGGCAGAGCAACGCTCTTGGATAGACGAAAGGGGGCTCTAAGGGGGTATTAAAGGGGGTACGTACCAGATGGGGGAGTACGATATAGGAGAAGGAGGGCAAGACTGAACACCTGTACGCGTTGTCCTCTACGAACCTGAGAGTGAAATATTCTCCAGAGCCAAGTTCAGTCAAATTTCGCAATATCAAACAAGTTGGCCCACGAGGCAATGATTTAAACCACTCTACCACGTCAAATTTTCACTCCCAACGAATCCGAATCCTATCCAAGCCTCATCAAGTCTACGAGTACGACCTAGTACATCCTTATTCCAATGACCTCTCGTCGTCTTTCTCTGGCCTCAGCCGGTCACCAAATACACGCCCACGCCGATATTTATACCCGACGGAGGACACAAAGCGTGGCGCATAAATCTGGGAGACTGTTCTTTGGGATGGACGTGAGAGGATTCAGGACAAGTTAACAAGATGATGCAAAGAATAAATACAGTCTCAACGAGCGTGGAATTTTGAATTTTTGCAAGGAGTTTTTACAAATTAAGCTTTGTGCGTGCCAAGACTTCGGTTGCGAGAGTGCAGGCGACACTATAAACACCGCCATGGTTGGATGGTGCGGTGGTACATCGTCTTGGCCGGTCTGCCAATTAGAGTCTGGATAGCTTGGACACATATCCCACTCGAGACAGTAGATCGCTGGTTCAAATCCGGCAAAACACAACAATATTTCTCGCGGCGCTGGTATGCATGGATGACCAAGGCATGCTTGGATAACCAAGGGTTTCGGAATCCACTTTGGTGGGTACTCACGGAGGAGGGTCGACTGTTTGCGTAAGCAAACATACCTCATAGTGTTATTTGCGAATGAAATCCAAGGTATGAGTCTCTCTAACGTCAAAAGAGTCATCCTATATGTATACATAGCTCCTGTCATACGTCATCGCTCTATAGCTGAATACACATTAAATGATTAAAAAAAAAGATTGTGGCTAGTAATACTCGAACTTTATTACGTTCCATGTTAATGCAGCTCTTCATTGCCAAGTAGCGCCAATTTTAATCCCTTGCACCCAAAAGAGAAGATCTAGTGACTATTTATTGCTTCCATATTTTGGTGTCAAGCTCCAGATGCTGTCTCGCTGGCAAGTTTAAGAGTGCGTTGTTTAAGTCCTGTATAGGTTCATGACCTCACAAATACGATTCGACATTGTCTAATCAAATGTTCCTGGTCACCTTGGTGATGATCACTTCCGCAAATAGATTTTGTGCCGATATTTTCTGCATTCTAGCTGTATTTTCCACGCCAGCCCTATGAATCAGATGACAATTTATCCTCGTATCATATATCAAACAAGCACTATCAGGAGCTTCTCATATTTGTCCCAAAATCTAGGCTACTCATGATTCTTTTGTTTTTTCGGGCTCGTTACAGTCGATATTGGTGTTGAAGAAAAAAGCGGAAATGTTTTTTTAAGTAGGCAAACGAGTCGGATGAATCCTTTATTCTGGGCTGATTGTAGACTTGGCGTCTGATCCTTACTAAGATTAGAATTATGTGCTGCTGATGGTTTTCGACTTATGTTGTGAGTAACGACTACACCGCGGATTTCGTAGTGTTTATTTATTATGATTTCGTAGGAGATAATTTGTGCTTTGAGAAATATTAAAAAAATTCACTCAAAGCTTCATGGAACTTACGTTTATCCTTTATTACCACTCGTTTGCTCGAAATTTTTCTCTTCCATGGACCATCAACTTCACTAGATGTGTCCTTTACTTCGGCAAAACCATCCATGAATTTGGATAAGTTATGAGTTGAGTGAAGTTGAAGCTCTGTTTGTTCCCATGATAATGATCCGCAACGAACCATAGGCTCAGTGAAAATATTTTCCATCTTAGAATACGTATTTGCTGTGACATCGGGTACTTTTTACAGGACTCATATTTACGTGTTTTAGTATCGTAATAAAGCACGTTTATCAGTTCACAGCTATTATTAAAAGTTATTTTTTCTAAAATTTTCCTATTTTTACCTAGAACCAGACTCAGCGAACTAGGGCAGTGAAGAATATTTGGGTCAGTTCGAGAATAAATTAGATTAATTACCCTGAGTAATTTTTGATAAAGATAGAGGGAACTCCCATTCATATATCAATTTTTTATCATCATCATCTTCAGTGTAAACGAGGGGTCGTTTCGAATCTTTCATTGTTGATATGAATCCAATACAAGCTGCTTCTCGAACCGATTCAACTTCACCGAAATGGTATATTTTCCTTTGACAATGATATCCAGGTTCGGTTGACTTAACCATTCTTCCTTCAATCAATGACGCATGAACTGAGATTAAACGTATCATGAGTACGGCGGTTATCCATAGAGACTGACCTTTGAAGATGTGACGTAGATTGTTCATTTTCAAAGATTTTCAATTTTGATATTTCGGAACGATAAAGATGGGACTTTACAAAGAATCAAATGCAGAACTCATTACACATGGAGCACTATCAATTTTATACACGTTGCATATCCTTATCATCATTCTCTAACGCTAGATTGCCTAACTTTTTAAATTATTCAAATCTCGTGGATTTTGCGGCAACGTTTTTCGGTAATTGGGCGTTATTCACCCTATCGTAAACGAGTCATAAGCCAAGCTCTAAGCTCATCCATATTATGATAGTGTTCCTGAATTGGAAAGCCCGAAGAATTTGAATTTGATATCTTTTACGTGACAGGAAAGACTCGACATCTATTTAGACATGATAGTGGTGGATGGGCTCTGAGAGCTCATAGCTACCGACATGACCGGCAATGAAGCCAGAAGCGACAAAAGAAATGAAAAAAAGTACAGTAACTGTCTGAGTTATGGTGCCCTGCACCGCATCCCTATCTTACACACCCATCTCCTCTCGGATCAGAAACAATCTCAGCGTGGTCACTACCCATTCTGTTCATTATTCGGCAGACTGTAGCATCTGCTTGTAGTAAGGGACTGGAAGAACTTCCGCCATTCATTCTCTCCTATCATTTCCCTGGCCCCAGGTGAGGCCATTTTCTCATGGCTTCTCCAACGTAGCAAAGCAGGTCTGCACTCTGAAAAATGCCAGGGCCTGTTCCCTCGGCCGCAAACACATTTCAGATCCTCGTATTCGGGGTTGAAATTGTTTTAATTAGGGGAGTAACATGACTGCATTACAATAAACTGTTCACATGAGAATAATGTGCACATGCGCCATGAGATATATCGAAAAATCCACTAGTATGCAGAAACCTCCTTATTCATGTTTATAGAAGGTCCAGTCACGTAGATGATATAGGCAATTAATACAATAGGAAATTTAAACAATCTCCACATTATTCACACACGTGAGAATACTAGGGAATACCCTCAAGTTCGTCCATTGATCCAAGTCCTAAGAGTATAACTCACGAACTTTACTTCTCTTAGAGCCCTAGCTACCACCTTCCATACCTTCATCCTAACGGTACGTCATTCCAGCTCAGCATAGCCTTTCAATAGAAAGGTCGATGGTTGTCGGCGTAGTACCCGTGGCCTGTTCTTGCCGCAATCAGACAATGGTACGCCCGAAAGCCCGTAGAATAGTCGGTTTTGGTTCATTTTTACATTGTACCATTACTTTTGTGTGAAAGATTCTTTTACAAAAGAGGTAAACTTTATTCAAGGCCGCATTTGAGATTACTATAGATTTTATCGTGTGATATACATTTGTAGGGAAGAGAAGTAACGGAAGCAAAAGTCATGTAGATGAGAAAGCAGGGAGTAGCTTCAAGGGACCTCATACACCACTAGGAACTTGCAAGTTAATCCTCGGCAGATAGTAAACTTTTGAATGAGTCGATAAATTTAATCGATCAAAATCACCATGTGTGTGTGTTATTTATTGTACTACTCAAGGCTTAGAGTATCTATCAAACTATGGATAGTTTGGGAGCGATCAATATAGAGTTTAAGGTGTAAGGTTTACAAAGCTCGGAGTTACTTGTTTCGGACAAAGGTGTTTCGCTTGGGCTGTAGCAATAAGAACTCTATATCTTCTCACCAGAGATGTTTCGTTCCAGACCATGAGAAACTCGGTTCATGGGGACAAGTTGGGGACAGATAGAGCATTAACCATTTTCTAGACGTACATAATCTGGATAGTATCAGAAAGAGAAATAGTAGCCCGGAATTGGTTGACACATTTTACTTTTTCTTCTTACATTATTCAATTGACTCGTAGAGTCTAACAGTATCTAGAAAATTCGTCTCCTCTCTAACCTAGGTCACACCATGTACAGTGTTCCTATCTTTATTTATTGCCTCAAAGATCTTTGATATACTGCCAGTAATGCATAGCCATGCAGCTCAGTGTTTGCCCATGAGATTCGGCCACCTTTTCCATGGAACCTTCTACCCAAAAAAAAAAAAAAAAAAAAAAAAGTGAAATGGTAGCAATAAAAACTGCATGCACGAGAAAAATTCCCAAAAAGCCTGCAGCCCAAGCCAGGCTAGGCCTAGACACTGGGACCACATGAAGTGCGCATATTCATCAATATCTCCCTTATTTGTAACAATCGAGGCCGACTTGATCCAATCCACCATCGCCGTATCAGGTGCTGGGTATGCTCCGGAAACTCATCGGATGACTTCTCCTCCATGATCAAGGGTGGGTGATGATAAGGGCTTCGACCCTACCATCTGAATTGATCGGGGTGATACGGGATTTTGTTGAAAGATAAAGATGATACAGACCGTGTTAGCGATTGGGAATCCTCATCTAAGTGAGGGCAGAGGTGTTCCTCAATCTCGGATCTGCAGACTCTACAGTTATAGTTGGAGGTTCGTAGGGGTCATCACCTGAAGGGGGATGTTGAAAGTCATGCGATAAATCTGTAATTGTATCACGTGTCTCGCTTAGTATTCCATACTTTCCGTAATTGTGAAGTGTGTAGATAATTAATAAGAACAAGAAAAGTAGCACCAATAGTTGTAGTTATAATACACACAATAAATTATATAAATATATTTATATTATAAGGAATCTGATTTCGAGAGCAAGTATCCACACGCAGCTGAATATATAGCTGGTATGCAGTATACTCTTAACTCCACTATCGCATAAATAACAACAGGTGTTTATGTTATGATCTAAAAGTAGCTTAACCCCGATGGGTGGAGAAGAGTGTGCTAAGAATTGGCAAGAGTCATGGGTTCTAATTTGGTGTCGTCTGTCTTTTTTTAATTCATAGTGTATTCAGCTATCTAGCTATGATACATCTGATTATTTTATATCTAAATACAAATATTTAATCCCCATTTTCTCTACTTTTCTTCTAGTCTCCTCCCTTTCATTCAGCTTTGGATGCACTCATGCATCCAGTCTCTTGAAGGAAGTGAAGAGTTGCTTCTTTTCCAATTTTGGTATTAAATAGTATCTCTAATCTCAATGGCAATATGCCTTTAAAAGCTTCCTTTCTTTCGGTCTTAAACTTACTGCAATAAAGAAGTAGGTGTTGAGTAGTCTATTTTCCCTTCTAACAGAAGTTGCAAGAGTTATCCCTTACTTTTTTAATTCGAAATAAATGGGCCCTGGTATTTCCAATCCCTGTTCTCGCTTGTGTAAATGAAGATTGTGTCATTCTACTGTAATGACTGAAGTTGTATGGTCTCATTTTGATGACAGGTGATCTTTTCCTGGCTTGCACTTGATAGAGCCTTCCCAGTCCTTTAGCCCTTCTACCCTCTTCCTGTCTCAAGACTTGGGTCTCCCAGTCATTTTGCCAGGCTTTGAGAGTCAGTTCCTTTGCCTTTTGCTTAAGGTAAGCAATTGTTGTGAATTTATCTCTTTTACTGACATTTTTCTTGGCCCCACCTCTTGCCAGACTGCCTACTAGCTCATTCCCAGCAATACCTTCATAGTCTGGACACCAGTGTAGATGAATTTGGTATTTATCGCTTTTTATCCTTATTTGATGTGAGATAAAGTTGTCAGCTTTACTGACCCTATGAATAGCTGCTTGAATATCAGAAAAGACCCAGATCTCTCTGGAATTTCCATTGGATATAACATAGTTTATAGATTTCAAGATACAATATGTCTTAGCATCTGAGATTGTCATAGTGTGTCCAAGATTTAAGATAAACATTTTACCTGTCTTGTGAATGGTGAGATACCACAAATCCAAGGCTACTTCCATTGCTTTTTGTTAAGGAACCATCTGTGTATATAATTGATGCATGATAAGGAATTTCTTTAAGCAGAAGAATATGCTCTACCTTTGCTGCATGCTTAGAAGAATTACTTATTTTAGTATCCAAATTATGTGCTAGCCATGGTGGTACCCATTCTGCATTGATTATTTCTAATCTATTGCAATCTGAGAGCCCTTTGAGCAGGTGTTCAATCTTCATGAGCTGGGTATTATTTTCTTGGAGATCATCAATCATGTCAAGGCTGATGGCAGTACCTATGGACAGCTCATCTTGAACTGAGCTAAGTAGCTGCAATTGTATTGGGTGCAAGGGCTGCATTCTTAGTATCCCGAGGGCATAGTTGTAGGCTAGTCTTAGATGTCGCACCTTCACAGGTGGAAGGGCGGCCTCTACTTCCAAAGCCATTGAGGAGCTGCTAGAGTAAGCTCCTGTGAGAAGGACTACTGCTCGGTTCTGTAATTTCTGACATTTATCAATGAGATGAAGAGATCGGCTCTTCTCATACCATAGGATAGAACTATAATCTAGCACTGATGTTACACAGGCAATATAGAGCTGTCGAAGTTGGTCGAATTTGATTCCTTTAGTTGAAGAAGCAAGGTTCTTAAGCCTAAGAAGAGCTCCATTTGCAAGCTGCATTCTCTTGTCTATATGGGTTTTGAACGATAGCTTGGAATCAAACCATCTTCCTAACCATCTGACAACGCTTTTAGGGTCAAAATGGATTCCTTGAATTGTTATTGGAGTTTCAATTGCCACTCTCTTCCGATGGAAGTGGATTAGCTCGGTTTTTTCGACCTCAAAGGTGACAGAGAGTTCCTGGGATCTTGTAGCCAGGGTTTCAATTGAAGTCTCCAAGGTATGGGTATTCTTTTCAACCGAGGAAGAAGTAGTAGATATAGAGATATCATCAATGTAGGAGATGTAGAGAATCTTTTGATTCTACTCAGGAGGGTGTAGATATTGGATGGAAAGAAGAAAAAGCATTGGAGAAATTGGACTTCCTTGTGGAGTGCCTGAGACTGAAAATTGTTGAATGAGCTGTCCATTAAATAATAATTTGATTTCTCTATTAAAGAGAAAAGATTTGATCCATCTTACAAATGGAAGTGGTAATTGAAGGGCATTATGAATATGAATCAATTTTACTGGTTAAAGTCTATCAAAAGCACCAAGAACATCCAGCAATACAGTGGATA